TGCAGATCTGCATGGTATACCATATAATCAACTGGCGGGGGGGGGGGGGGGGGTATGTTGTTGAAAAGAAATTCTCTTACCCCCACACCTGGAGGATCTCAGTCACCCTCCCTGTGCACAGCTGGAGCTAGGTGGAGAGAGAACCTGAAGCCTGCGTTGAGCAATCTGAGATTAAATCACTGTTCACTGGGTTTGAACAAGGACTACAGCATGGTTATTAGCTAATCCTGCAAACTGCTGTTTTCAAAAGCAATGTGCACCGGGGAATCATCGAAATACAAACACAACCAACTCACGTATCACCTAACAGGAAACAAAGGGAGAGGAACAACTCCACCAACCCGTTTAGGACTTCTAATCCCCAAGCCAGCCTGCAAGCCTGAGCCTGAAGCCGCAGCCCTGCCCAGCTCCACCTCATTTGGCTTTGTCTCCAGAACATCTTCAGGGAGGGGCTGGTCTTATGCAAGTGTGATAACACTTTTCCAGCATGCCTCTGGCTTCTTGATCCCAGCGGCGAGGCACGTGGAGGTGAGTGGAAACGTTTCTAAAGAGGCTGTTGAGTAATGTAGGTACAAAAGTTTTAATTTTTTTTCCCCCAACCGAGCAATAAAATTGGCCATGGAACCAAGCCTCATTCAAAGAGGGGATATTAAAACCCAACTCAACCTCACTTGAGAAAGCACTAACAAATCTTTCTACTCTTTTCTGAGAACTCGGGATTACTTGGCCTGACCTGAAAAATCTGTTTTTTTTAGACTCAAGAAGATTCAACCCTCAAATGAAGCTGCTAATGATAAGGAACTTGGAAGTTAAATTGTACCTTGGGATCTTTACTCAAAGGAATCTTTCTAAAATTCACATCAGAGCATGTAACTCTCTTACTTTGCTGATAGGCAGTTAGACAGGCGTGAGCAGAGCAAGGACCACGGGCCAGGTGAAGAAGGTCACCAGGTGGAAAGTCCCAGGTGCCTAGCAAAGGACAATGGTAGGGTGGGACCTCGCCCCCAGGGTGACCTTTCCTCCCTAGCATATGACTGGTCATGCGGTTTGGACCCTCTGGCCTTTCCTCTAAAGAGATAACATCTAGGCCTCAGTTGTTTTTCAGCTCCAGGCCCAAAAAAAGCAACAAAACCAGACAAGCAACACTACGCCAGGGCTGACCGCAGGACCAGCAGCGCTGAATAATGACCCTCTACCCTGGCACCAGCCAATCGGTGGAGACACCTGGAAAGCTGTTGAATAGTCTATTGCAGTGGTTCTCAACCTGTGGGTCGAGACCCCTTGGCAGTCAAACGACCCTATCACAGGGGTCGCCTAAGACCATCCTGCATATTCACATTATGATTCATAACAGTAGCAACATTACAGTTATGAAGTAGCAACGAAAATAATTTTATGGTTGGGGGTCACCACAACATGAGGAGCTGTATTTAAAGAGCCAGAAGGTTGCCCTAACTGGTTTGGCTCAGTGGATAGAGCGTCGGCCTGCGGACTGAAAGGTCCCAGGTTCAATTCCGGTCAAGGGCACGTACCTTGGTTGTGGGCACATCCCCAGTAGGAGGTGTGCAGGAGGCAGCTGATCAATGTTTCTCTCCCATCGATGTTTCTAACTCTATCCCTCTCCCTTTCTCTCTGTAAAAAATCAATAAAATATATATTTAAAAAATAAAAATAAAGGGCCAGAAGGTTGAGAACCACTGTTCTATTGAGATCTTCCCCTGGAACCTCCCCTAAAGCCTCCACCCTTCACCCTTCGGACTGAGGACCCAGCGGGCTCTCCCTCCCCGAGCAGGCCCTCTCCACCCCCGCCCCGGCTCTTGCGCATTTTAATCTACTGAAAATGTACAGTTTCAAACATCACATTGATAAAGCCGATTCAACAGGTGCTCCTACGTAATATCGGTCATTCGAGAGTACGACGCTCTGCTCGCCCGGGGGGATGACCAGGAGTATGGGGAGAGGCCCAACACAAGACTGCATATCGCTGCGCTCTTAGACACCGGATCGCATGCGTGAGGTATAATCAATCCCACTGAATAGTCAGCCTACCAGGAAAGCGAATCTCGTAAACATCAATTGTACTGCTAGATCACAGATAACTTAGGATGTATGGATCAGGAAGAGAGAGCAAAATCCGAACAGTGCAATATCCTTGACGTTTCATTGACGGGAAGGGCACGGTAGAGCATATTTTACGCACTAGGGCTATCTGGAAAATGATACCCAGCTCTTCATAGCTCAGTTACGAATCTACTTTACAGCCGAAAGAGTCCCGGGTCAAATACCCACGCCCATTTGACCCATATTCGTTATCCTTTCCAATTGTATGTAAGTAACGGTAGACTCAGATGTAGATTTTTTTAACCCTTA